TATTTTCTTTTCGTTCAGTAAAATAAATGATAATACAAAATTCACAAATTTTTTGAGAAATTTTTTTAAAAAAACAAGGATTTTTAATGCTTACTACTCGCAGACGTTTCGTGCGGCGTTTTGTTTTTTTCGTCCCACGCGTTTATTTTCTTTCTCGTTCTGTGTTTTTTTTTTCTTTTTCGTGTTTTTTCTTTCCTTTTCCGCTATCGGTGAAGCCAGAGGGTAGCTGGTTGAGACTGAAGATTTTCCGTACTTCAGTTTTTTTTGTAAATTTCCCCCGTCTCTTAATATGTTGGGTACTTTCATAGACTATTTTCCGTACCTCAGTTTTATCTGCAAATTTCCCCGTATCTCAATATGATGGGAATTTTCATAGGCTGTTTTTCGCACCTCATTTTTTTTCTGTAAATTTTCCCGTCTCTTAACATGTTAGGGACTTTCATAGACTGTTTTCCGCACCTTAATTTTATCTGCATATTTCACCGTACCTTAATATGTTGGGGACTTTCATAGACTATTTTCCGTTCCTCAATTTTTTCTCCAAATTTCCTCGTTTCTTAATATGTTGGGGACTTTTATAGACTAGAAAATGAGCACTGTTTTATTATTATTACATCTAATTAAGATGAACTGTACGTTAGCAAATGGACCGAAATGTCTTACCTCATTCTTTCTTCCTTTCATTTTCTTCTGTTTTTTATCTTATATACCTTCCTCATTTTTGCACTCAGGATCAACCTGGACGCTACATTCGGCTTATAATTTTTGTGGAATTGTCAAAGTTGCTTTGTAATTCCATTTGTCAATCGAAATTACGCATCGTTGCTGATTTGATGTAATTTAAGAATTTTGTTCAGGTCACGACTCGATCCAAATCCGCTGGATTTCTATTTTGGTCTGAATATCCATCATCGTGATCGATATGGTTGCATGGTCTATAATAATGGGCGTTTGATTCGAATGTATGAAAAAGTGGCAGTGCAGAAGGAAAAAAACGATAGCATGATGTAGGATTTTTTTTTATAATTCTGAAGTTCGGTGAGTGTTTACAGCTAAGGGATGAAACACAAACAGACTGCTGCATCGAGTAAAATGTCTTCTTACACATGACACTTAAGTCCAATCCCTCCATTCCTACTATTTCACATGAATGGGTTTTTAATGTTGGAAATACTTCCAACTGGCCTTTTTTGATTAGCTTTAAGAAAAGATCCTTTTACTGTTCTGCGAAAGACTGTCGGAATTCGAGGTAAGCTGATGCTCAACACATCAAGTACATCTCGAAACGGCTGAAGCCTTGCCAAATAGCGATTTTTTGGGGCATTAACCGGATATGCGTTGAAGAACCGGATATGCGTTACAGTTGATTTAAATGTCAAAGTGTATTTTTATGCAAACTTTCTTTTATATTTGTTAAATATATGAAAGTCTTGTAATTTGGTGAAATTTCTTAATTTTAAATTGATTTTTCTAGTACATTTGTGGATTTTTTTAGTAAATTTTTTTTTTAATAAATTTCTTTAGTAAAAATTGCTGTTAGATTTCTTAATTGTAAAGTAATTTAGTGAAATAATGATTTCTGAATAATAATGATGATTTTTAGGAAATACCTCGGAGTGGTGGCGGTCGTTGATGTTCCATATTCGGTACTTGAACCAACCCATAACAAACAATCATTCGAAAACAAACGTGAATACATGAATTTGCTGAAAGCGATAAATGATCACATGGTGCAGTACTGGACTGATGTGGCAATCGGTGCAATGCCAGGCGGTGTTGGCGGTTTCTGGTATGTGGAATATTTTTTGCCAATCATTGGTGGATCGAGGAGGCGAGGGGTCTTTGGCCCTCAGCAACTCAGGCAGCAGCTGTTTTACTGTAGAAAACTCTGTTCAGTACC